GATAGACTCTAACGCCCAATGACCAAGAAGTGAATAAGTGGAAGAAAATGGTTGTAAGCATGTAGGCACAACAGTTGAGAGATCCATAATCCTAATAAACAAGACAACTTATTGAAGCCCCACAATACGCTCTCCACGTGTTATACCCAATAGGCCTGTTTTTAGAAATGTTTCTGACAGTAGAGAATCTCTCTTTGCTGTTATTAATGCAACTCTTGTGCTAAGAAGTCCTTAATCTCAGTTTGCATGCTATGTTACCATCATACTGAAATAACCAAGGGCGTTTTATCAGCTCGACTACATATGTGGTCTTGTGTGAGAATCTGCCCAGCAGCTTAATTTTTTAGGCCTGTCTGTGGATGTGAGACGTGGTCCACTTTAATCGTGACCTTAAAGTTCACACAGTAAAAAAAAGAATGTTTGTGGGGGAAGGAAAGAAGTGAAATTTGTCTTAACAGATTACTGGACTGCTTCACAGCCAGCTCTCAGCTGACAGCGTTGACAATGAGCAGGATGTTTTCTGCTTATTCGAGCAGCTGGAAAATAGGCAACAGGCAGTGATCAAAACACCACGAGCTCTTTTACAACACTCCTTTCCAGAGAGCCCTCTCACAAAATCTTTAGAATTACTTTCCTTTAAATTTCAGAACTCTTAATCTGCTTGGCTCATGCACAGACACTGCTATAGTTTGTCTGTTAAACATTAGTTTTAATTATTATTTCTGTAGCTGTGTCATGATTTGAAATAGGATGTAAAATGTTGCTATGCATTCATGATTAATAAGAAAAGATACACAGCTTTGAAGGGAACCATCAATTTCTTTCCCGTTAGCGCCATCACAGAATGATTTTTACAATCACCAACTACTTCCACCTGTAAACTTGTTTTGTTTTTACCAATTTGGAAAATGTCTCTATTTTCACACACAGATAAGGAGCACATTGTCCTGGGATAGTTGGTCATGTTTCACATCAAATGTGTAAAATTTCATTGAAAACAAGAACACTCTAATAAGAGAAAGTTTACTACATATCAGTTTATTTGTGTTTTTAACATGATGTACTTTTAAAAACCAACATTTAAAATCAAGTATTTTTTATAATTAAAAGAATGCATCTGACATATAACTGAGTACAACTTACAAAACAAAAATGTTTCTAATTTATGCATATCAATGTTTCGCATATAAGCCAAATGATGAACAGTGTGTCATTTACTACTACGGACACTACAGCCTGAACACGCTGCACAAAACTCACCTCACAAGAATGAAGCATGACTCATCCTCTTACCTGCAGCAATATCATATGCCTGGGATACATAGCACTTATAAATAATCAAATATAGTAAAGTAATGTTTACATTTGTTGTTGTTGCAAGTTGACAACGTCAAAAATTACACGTTGACATGAAGATAAATTCATATATTCAAGTGATCCTTCCAAGCCTGAACCTGTGAGAACTTTATCACTAGGACCAGCTCTTTATAATCAACACCAGCTCATATAAAATTACAGTATTTCCTGGAATATAATATTGTTTTACACGTCTACAGTAAAGCTGATTTTGCCTTTGGAGTGCGACTGACCTGCACTGTATTCGTTGTTCACGATGACTTGTGTAAGATTGTCTCGTTGAACGTCTATATGAGCTCGTCCATCACCTACGTGTTTACTAAGACCTTTTTTCTCTCTTGCCTCCCTTTAAGTTCCCCCCTCCCAGCAGAAAGATAAAAAGGTTGATGAGACGGCTGACGAGGGAAAAAGTTTTATTCTGAAGTGTAACCCCCCACAAAGTTCTATGGAGCCTATCATTCACTGGATGGACTTAAGTGAGTACATTATCTATCCATCTCTCTGCTTCCATTAAATGCTTCCTGTCTCCAAGATTTTGTTGTGCATTTACCACTTCAGATAAAGCAAGTTAGCAATTTATTTCTGCATCGACACATCAACATTTCTGCAACTAGTGCTTTTTTACAATCCATGCAGGATCTACATGTTTCAGTTCCTCTCATCCTGTTGCATCTGTGTCTCCTGCCCCTCTGTTATTGCAATTTTTTCCAATTCTTTTAAGCAGTTTGAATCATTTTGTCAACATTTTTCTCACTCCTTCTTTTACTTCTTTCAGGGTTGCGTCATATCGAGCTTAGTAAGCGGGTGATGGTGGGGAAGGACGGCAATCTGTACTTTGCCAATCTGGAAAGTTCGGACAGCAGGGACGACTACACGTGCAATGTCCAGTACCTGGCAACACGCACGATTCTGGCAAAAGAGCCCACCTCTCTGAAAGTCACCCATTGTGAGTTTTGTTGAAGATTATCTAAACTCATCTGACTCAGATTAAGCTGATCTAACCTGAATTAAGGGTGGGTTCCAGTTAACAACAGCTTTATTCAAAATTTAAACCAAAATAAAAAGTCAAGGTCTTAAGGAATAAGAAAATTCAAGGCAATTTAGTTTAGATTGGTGATTTTCTGATTGTGTGTAAAACAGGATCAGAAACAACAAAACAACAATTGATCATCAGGTAATCGATTCGATGGCTTCTCTGTGGTTGAAACATGTCTTTCAGAAGAGTAAACGTGAGTCTCATGTGGTGCTAGATAGAAAATAAATCAGAGGATCCCAGTCAGTCTGGCCTAATGTCTGGAAATCTGGCGTATCTGTACCAGCGTTCCTTGAATCCCACAACTATTGATACACTCAGAACTTTAAACAGGAGTTTAAATTATCCTCCAAACGTGTATCATGGTTGTAAAAGTCATTCAGTTATGGAGCTGTTTTGAAAAAGAACCAGTTTACGTTCATACGCCTCTTAAAATCTAACTTCTTTCATTCTTAAGGACATAAATGCTACATTTAAATGTCATATGCAGTATATTAGCTGAGGCCACATAATTAAACTACACATCACCATGTGGTGGCATGTTGTGCTGACCGAAGCAGTGACCAAATCCAGTAGGTCCCACTGAGCCAGCGGGGGGTCTTCCTCTGCTCAGCCCACATTATAATGAGATTCAGCTCACACTGTGATGTGGCTGCCAGCAAGTGCGACCCAACTAGAGGTCAGAAAGATGAGCACATGTTAACATGAGACCTCTGTGTGTGTCGAGAGTCTAGATGATGATGTTTTGTTAGAAAAATAAAGTCTATCAACATGAATCCACGCCCTGCATCTCTACTTGTGTTCTTCAGAGTCTTTAAAGTGGTTGCTGTGTCAGCAGCAGAGCAATCTAAAACAATTACCCATGCATATGTATGAGTGTTTTCTCTTTGTCTTTGTGGTTCCTCCTCTCTTCGTCCAGCCAACTCGGTACTGCGGAACAGAAGGCCCCAAATGATGAGACCTACTGGACATCACAGCACGTACCATGCCCTGAGGGGACAGACACTAGAGCTGGAGTGCATCGTCGAAGGCCTGTGAGTGTCTCAGCGTGCGCTTCCAACCCCTTTAATCGGAAAACTCAAGCCTTCAATCTTACCTGTCTCTCATCCACCCACCCCACCCTACGCATTATTCCATTATGTCTTTCGCTTCTTCCTGCCAACTCTGCTTCCTGCTGCCATCTTGTCTTAATGGTCCTTATCATTCCTTCCGGCATTTCTCTTTCTCTCTCTGCCTGCTCGCTTTACTCTATGTCCACTTCCTCTCATTATTTCTCTCTCTTCTCTTTAATCCCTCCATACACGTCGTCCTTTCTAGTCCAACTCCAGAAGTGTCCTGGATGAGGAGGGATGGCGAGCTGTCAGAAACTCGGACCACCAAAGATATGTTTGACCGCCGCTTGCGCTTCACTAATATCTCGGAAAGTGACGGGGGCGAATACCAGTGTATAGCTGAGAACTCCCAAGGAAACACCAAACACATTTACATGTTGACTGTGGAAGGTATATCTCTTGCGTTTCTCTATTACACTCTCATTCCCTCACACACACACACACACACACACATATATATATCTTGAGAGATAGTGAAAACACACACAGCATGCTTTTATTTTCCATTACATATTTCTAGGTTGATATTTTAATCTCAATATATCTGATGTGGTTTGCTGACCATTAGAATATTTTCGGGGGTTTTCTGTGGGTAGCTGCACAGACAGAGACCTCCCTCACTAACTTTTTTTGGAACTGCCATAAATTTGGGTTGTTTGTGAGAGCCTGTTAAAAATAACATCAGTCACAAGAGATGCCACAGAAGCAGAGACATCTTGTGGTTCACACTACACAATCAAACTGCAGAAACACCAGATCCTGACATTTCCTCAGCTCCTCAGTGTCTTTCATAAGAATAGCTCTGCTTTGTAAACTTCCATGTTGAAACTAATGGGGCTCATTTTAAAGTGCAACCTCATTTAAAAAAAAAAATCTATAAAAATGTAACACAGCTGCTTGAAAAAATGTGCTTTTTTTATGTTTCAAAAAAGTTTACCACTATGCTATATCGCCTCGTCTTTTAACAACACTCTGTAAACTCTCGGGCACTGAGGAGACCAATTAGTCTGAGCAAATTACAAAAACGTTTTCCAACTCCTGACTAATTAATGATGCGCCAAATGTTTGCAATGCATGCCAGGTCCAGACTGCAGACATGACACAGAGACTGTCGTTATGTGGTTTGGCCTTATATCGCCGAACGCTTTCTCTGGGGAGGATGTTGTTTGGGTGGCAGCATATGTCACACAAAACTTTTTACATCGCTGGGCATTGATGGTACCTTCACAGATGTGCTAATTATAGTTATGTACACCCATGCTGCCAGAGATTATGGCTTCTGAACAGTTTAGTCTCTTTACGGTTTCGAGTGGAGGATTCACGTTTCATGCTTTCCAAGGGAGGATTTTTACAATTTGAGAGGACAACTGAAATTAATGGAGAAAATGAGACTAACACAAGCTGCAGAGAAAAAATGTTGCAGAATATAAACCAGGAAACGATAACACACAACAAAACACATACACTTTGCACAAGAAATTCAAAAACTGAAAGCATCAATGTGATTAACTAAAAAACTCAAAAAACAATCCCCCAAACCAGAATTAATAATAAACGAGGGCACTCAGAGTGGGCAACTGTCCCCGAAGGGCTAAAACATTCAGGTTTTATGCTGATGTCAGCATTGGTAATATGGAAATTTAGTTTAGTGTATTAATCTTTTTGTGTCATTGTGAAGTCATATAAT